CTTTTTTCTTCATAATGTAAACAAAAAAACCTGAAAATAAAATTGTTAATATAAACAAAAATGCAAAGACAAATGATCTCTTAGGGTACCAATTAAATATTTAAATACATTATGTATTCAACTGTTTTAGCATTAATTTGTAAAAAAACAATTTTATTTTCAGGTTTTTTTGTTTACATTATGAAGAAAAAAGTTGAGAATTATTGAAGGTCTGCAATGAAGGTGCTGTCAACATTTGCTGAAAAAAGCAGCTATTGGTGCCTGAAGCACACAGAGACTGTATGAGCCACCAGATCCAGTCTGTCGATCCATCACCTGTGAACAAGACACTCGGATACTTAAAGTCCTCCACCTGAGGCAAAGACTCCTCCCTGACCTGGAGGGGGCATTCCACCCATTTCTGTTTGAGAGCCATGGCCTCGGACTTAGAGGAACTGGCTCTCATCCCAGCTGCTCCACATCTGGCTGCAAACTGTGCCAGTGCACGCTGAAGGCCATGGCCCGAAGACACCAACAGAACCACATCATCCACATAAAGCAGAGACGAGACCATGAGGTTCTCAAACCAGACACCCTCCTGTCCACGACCGGGCCTTAATATTCTGTCCATGAGCACCACAAACATCACCCAGGAAATGAAAGATTAGGCTTAAATGGTTCTTTCAGATTGCCAGTGACCCTAAACATACCGCCCAGTTAAAACGTGGCTTAAGGACAGCCAAGTCTGTTTTGAACTGGTCATCACAAAGCCCTGATCTCAGCGCCACAGAAAATTTGTGGGCAGACCTGAGAAGGTGTGTAAGCAAACCAGTTCTGTCAGGAGGAATGGGATAAAATTCTGAGAAGCTTGTGGAAGGAAACCAATGCTTTTGGGTGTCATAAAGTAAATTAACATAAAGGAGACTCCACAGTCTCTACACCATCCAGGACATCTACCACAGCCGATGTCTGTGTAAAGCACGCAGCATCGTTAAGGACCACACCCACTCAGCACAAGGACTCTTCCATCTACTACCCTCAGGCAGACGATACAGGAGTCTGCCATCGTACACAAAAAAACTCAAAGACAGTTAATATTCACAAGCTGTCAGATTACTGAACCATGATAATACTGAACTATTGATAACACCAAGCCACATCTGTGACAACTAATATGTTTACTGCTGCACTATGTGGCTGTATCATGTGTGTCACTACCTTAACATCATAATTCATCTCAGTGTTACGCACTACCTGTGCAATAATCTGTCACACAACCTGTGTAGTTTATGTTAGTTATGTGCAGTATACAGGTGCTGGTCATAAAATCTGAATATCATGAAAAAGTTGATTTATTTCAATAATTCCATTCAAAAGTGAAACTTTTATATTATATTCATTCATTACACACAGACTGATATATTTCAAATGTTTATTTCTTTAAATGTTAATGATTATAACTGACAACTAATGAAAACTCCAAATTCAGTATCTCAGAAAATTAGAAAATTACTTAAGACCAATAAAAAATAAATATATTTTTAGAAACGTTGGCAAACTGAAAAGTATGAACATGAAAAGTATGATGAAAAATATGAGCATGTACAGCACTCAGTACTTAGTTGGGGCTCCTTTTGCTTGGATTACTGCAGCAATGCGGTGTGGCATGGAGTCGATCAGTCTGTGTCTCTGCTCAGGTGTTCTGAGAGCCCAGGTTGCTCTGATAGTGGCCTTCAGCTCTTCCGAGTTGTTGGGTCTGGTGTATCACAGCTTCCTCTTCACAATACTCTATAGATTTTCTATGGGATTAAGTTCAGGAGAGTTTGCTGGCCAGTTAAGAACAGGGATACCATGGTCCTTTTTGGCACTGTGTACAGGTACCAAGTCCTGTTGGAAAATTAAATCTGCATCTCCATAAAGTTGGTCAGCAGCAGGAAACATGAAGTGCTCTAAAACTTCTTGGTACATGACTGTGCTGACCTTGGACTTCAGAAAACGCAGTGGACCAACACCAGCAGATGACATGGCACCCCAAACCATCACCGACTGTGGAAACTTGACACTGGACCTCAAGCAACGTGGATTCGGTGCCTCTCCTCTCTTCCTCCAGATTCTGGGGCCTTTCATTCAACCTTTATTTAGACAGGTAAATCACACTGAGCCTTGAGGAATCATTTACAAGAGAGACCTGAGTTCAACAAAGAATGATGACAACAATGGACAACAGCGACAATAATAGACAATCATAAAAGAGGCGTGCAGTTTTTTTGTTGTCGTTTTTTTACAAATTAAAATAAGATGGCAATAAAAGTAGCAAAAACAGCTAGATTATAAGGCAAATGTAGAAAACTAAAAACAGGAACAAGTCTGCATTGGTCCTTGCCAGGAGTCCAACAGATTCTTAAAGACACTTAGAGGTCAAGGTCGAGAGCTTCAGATCTTTGTGCAAGATATTCCAGACTCTGGGACCTTGATTTCCAAAGGAAATGCAAAATTTACTTTCATCAGAGAACATAACTTTGGACCACTCAGCAGCAGTCCCAGGCGAGATGCTTCTGACACTGTCTTGTTCAAGAGTGGCTTGACACAAGGAATATGACAGCTGAACCCCTTGTCTTGCATATGTCTGTGCATGGTGGTTCTTGAAGCACTGACTCCAGCTGCAGCCCACTCTTTGTGAATATCCCCCACATTTTGGAATGGGTTTTGTTTCAATATCCTCTCCAGGGTGCGGTTACCCCTATTGCTTGTACACTTTTTTCTACCACATAATTTCCTTCGCCTCTCTATTAATGTTCTTGGACACAGAGCTCTGTGAACAGCCAGCCTTTTTAGCAATGACCTTTAGTGTCTTGCCCTCCTTGTGCAAGGTGTCAACGGTCATCTTTTGGACAACTGTCCAGTCAGCAGTCTTCCCCATGATTGTGTAGCCTACAGAACTAGACTGAGGGACCAATTAAAGGTCTTTGCAGGTGTTTTGAGTTAATTAGCTGATTTAGAGTGTGGCACCAGGTGTCTTCAATATTGAAGCTTTTCACAATATTCCAATTTTCTGAGATACTGAATTTGAGGTTTTCAGTTATAATCATTAACATTAAAAGAAATAAACATTTGAAATATATCAGTCTGTGTGTAATGAATGAATATAATATACAAGTTTCACTTTTTGAATGGAATTACTGAAATAAACGTTTTCATGATATTCTAAGTTTATGACCAGCACCTGTATATCATGTGCATTTAAGTTAATATTACGTGTGAAATACTTCATCCATCCATTATCTTTTACCCGCTTCTTCCATTTTGGGTCACGGGGGTCGCCGGTGCCCATGTCCAGCAATCACTGTGTGAGGGGCGGGGGACACCCTGGACAGGTATCAAGTCCATCACAGGGCCACATAGAGACAAACGAGACAAACAACCATTCACTCTCTCACTCACACCTAGGGACAATTTAGAGTTACCAATCAGCCTAACATGCATGTTTTTGGTCTGTGGGAGGGAACCGGAGTACCCGGAGAAAACCCACGCATGCACGGAGAGAACATGCAAACTCCACCCAGAAAGGCCCCCGGACTGGGATTTGAACCAGGGACCTGCTCGCTGAGAGGCAGCAGCTCTACCAGTTGTGCCACCGTGCTGCCCCTCCCTGTGAAATACTTATTTATACTAATTCATCCTACTTGCACCGTTCTATTCTACCGTGTTGTTGTTTACTATATTTGTTCTGGACCTTGTAAATATTACATTTCTTTTTCACTTTTTGGTACTTTATTTTGTACCTTTATTGCATACTTTAGTATTTCTTGTTTGTTTTTAGTGAGTCTAATCGGTTCTTCTCATCCTGAACATTTCATTGCATTGATGACCTTGTGCTAACCTGCATATGACAAATAAACAACATAACAGACCTGATGTAAACCAGGAAAGATTTAGTCAACTTAAAGGTAAGACAATGAGCGCAGCGGGTCAGAACTGTTCTTTTACGGTGTATGTAAACATTTGGTTTCAACCGTATCACAGGCCAACACCAACAGGTGAGCATGTAGACACTTCCTCCTACAGTCACCCTGACTTTGGAACGAATCGTTTTAGGACTGTGGAGGGCAATGCACACAATCCTTTTTGCTGTGAGACGTCAATGTGCCGACCACTTCAGAGACTTTATCAGTCATTAATAAAGCCACGAGGGCTGCCATATTTAAATACAAGGAAGCACTAAAGGAAAGACAAGTGCCTGAATACAAAACTAAATTTATTGACTCGTTTCAAAGACTGTACAGTAAGAGACAACAATCCTATGGAAAAATATAAAAAATGCTGGTGAATTAGGTGTAAACTGGTAAGGATGTACAGTAGACCTAAACATTTCACAGTTAATGTCTGCTAATTTTCTGTAGCCTCAGAAGAAGACGGTCATAAATACTAAAGACTACAGCCTCTGTAATGAAAACAAACGGGACACACGGGAAAAACGACCAGTTCAACCACATCCTGGAGACTGCTGTCTATAATGGTACCTCATGTCATTTAGGTTCTGAGACCAACCTTTGTAACATTTCACTGGCACCGTTTGAAAACATGTTTAAAAAAAAGACATTACCAATTTCAAATTGTTCACTTTTAGATGCAAAATAAAAAAACATTCAAACAACTTCCGAGCGGCAGCTAAAACCACTTGTACACATTTAAAACAAAAAGCCCCAACCACGAGCCATCCTGTGGAAGCAAGCGCACGTTTCATCACTGCCTGTGAAAACAACAGGAAGGCTGAACAACAAACCCTGCTGATCCAATACATTCGCTTTTCTTTCTGTGGAATCCCAGCAAGCTGGCTTGGTGCTTTGTGCTGATATGGATCCTCTCCCATCTTAGTTTAAAAACAAAAACACTCACCTTTTCAGGTAATCAATAAACCCAGGCAATATTTCCAATGCAGCACAATGCATTAGCTTTTCCTGCCTTATTAACACTTTGGTCCATAGTGCAAAGAAGTGATCTACAGTGGGATGAGAACGAGCTGCGGCGGAGGATGAGGGGCTGGATTTTATCTGCTGGGGGTCGTGCAGGCAGCGAACCGTAGCGTGATCATCAGAAAAGGGTGTGTGATGCTGATGTGCCCCACAGTGAAGATTTATTGAAAAAGTGCCGAGACTGACGACAGTCAGATTTCTGACAGAGTCACCCGCAAGGACTCAGCCGAGCTCTCTAAAGACAGGATGAAGGTGTCCTCGTTGGAGTAGTGCTGGACCATGTTGTCGTCCATGTTCACCAGAACCCTGGGTCAATAAAGGGACATTTTTACAATTCATTTTATTTAAAAAGTAACAGTGCACATCAGTCAACAGTTCAACAAGTCAGACCCTCTTAGCTAAAGGCTAACTTTCATCAGAAGTAGAGCTGTACAATAATCTGATAGCGATATATGTCACAATATTATTTTATTAAATAACAATGATACGAGTTTTAAGCACATTTTTGATATTTCAATATGATTATAGCGTTTCATTGACGCATTTCTTTTTCTGTTCAGGTTGAAGCAGCTGCTTCAGTTTCAACCCCGACAGAAAAAGCCGCGACACAACTATATAAGTGCGTGGTGACGTAGATGTTACGCAGAGCTCGAGTCCAGAAGGAGTTAACGATAGCAGGCTAGGCTAATCTCCAATGTGAGTTGAGTTTTCTCTTCAAAATGAGTTCCCATGACCGTCAGTATGTGACTGAAGAAGCTTTCACAAGAGAAGAGAAAGCACATGACATCAACGATAAGAGAGGAAAGACTAATTCGGTGGTGTGGAAGTGGTTCAGCTCTCTAAGATCCGATAAGCTGCAGGTTTCAGTGTGCTGCAAAATGTGAGAGTAGTTCCAACTAGCGGTGGGAACACATCGAACTTGTTCCACTCGAGAGAATATTCTGAGAGTCAGAAGATGAAGCACAATAAAAGTTTGAGCCAACATGTCCCTGAAACAACTCCCCCAGCTGTATCAAAGGCAAATGCAGACGTTTGCTGCATGGGTCAGGTTATGTTGTTTAAAGTTAAAACTATTAATACTGACAAAGTTGAGAGTTTTAGGTTTATTTGACGGTGATTTCAACATTTAAGAAGGCTAAATACAAATAAAAGGTAACTTATTTGTACAGTTTGTAAAGTTTTTCTGAGGCTTATATATTGTTTATATCGATATCGGAATTATATCATTATCGACAGAAATTAAGAAATATATTGTGATAAAAGTTTTGGCCATATCGTCCAGCCCTAATCACAAGTCCCTTAAAATCCCTAAAGGTTGCATGCTAGCATGTTTGTTAGCCTGTTAGCAGTTAACCTCGTGTTACGCCGTTTACCTCACAAGTTAGAACTCGCATGTGGTAATAACTTTACAGCAAACCTAACTGTGCTCCTACTGAAACATGGAAAACCAGCAGGACTTGTTGATTTGTGTTAAAGTAACTAGGCTAAAGTTAGTCATACACACCAGTAACTGAATCCCTGCACTTCATGCAATTAACGTTTCCTAATAGAGGTTGGACAATTTTATATGTGTGGCTAATTTACTGGGATTCAAACTGACAGATGTAAAAACAATATTTAAATGCAGCTATTAGAACCGTACAAGAACAAGGTATAGGTTTAGTGATCGGGGCTGCTCATAAACTATGGCTTCTAGTACAAATGTAAAGCACTTTATCTCAATTTATGCAAGTCTATATTTAAAGCAATCTATTTGTATTCCAAGTAAAAAAACATGCACAACAACAGGGTAATTAATTATTTATTTTGCTCCTGTTATGTATGTCTTTAAATAAGCCACACACATTGACTGCAGTGACTGGTCTGAGTGACTATTGGCCAGTGGCCCTCACCCCGATAGTCGCTAAATGCTTCGACGGACTGGTAGTGGCCCGCATCAGGGCAGCCATCAACATCGGCAAGGACCCTCATGAGTATGCATGCCACGAGAGCCGATCAACAGAGGATGCAATCTCTTCTGTGGTCCGCACTGCACTTGGCCACCTGGAGCGGGGGGACTCTTGCGTCCGTGTGCTCTTTGTGGACTTCGCGTCTGCCTTTGGTACCATGGTCCCCCGGGTCCTGATGGACAAACTATTCACACTAGGACTGGACCCCTCCATTTGCGGCTGGGTGCTAGATTTCTTGGCAAGCGGACCAAGTTGGTGGGGATCCACGGCTTCTCCTCCAGCATGGCCCTCAGCACTGGCTCTCCTCAGGGATGTGTGTCGAGCCCTCTCCTGTTTATTCTGCTCACGTATGATTGTGCAGCTACCCATCCAGGCTGTCACATTGTAAAGTTGGCAGATGATACAACGGTGGTGGGATGCATCACAAACAATGATGAGTCCAGCTACAGGCAGGAGGTGGAACACCTGGAGAGCTGGTGCAAAGAGAATAACCTTCGCATCGGTGTGGGGAGGACGGGGGAGATGATTGTGGACTTCAGAGGGGGCGGGCATACTTGTACCTCCCTGAACATGGGAGGATCTGTGGTGGAGGTGGTCTTCGGCTGCAGGTACTTGGGTGTGCACATGAATGACAACCTCAGCTGGAGCAACAACACCACCAGCCTGATCAAGAAAATTCATCAGAGACTCAACTTCCTCAGGCGGCTGAGGCGAGCTGGTCTGGGAAGCTCAGTCCTCACCTCCTTCTACAGGTGTGCAGTGGAGAGCATCCTGAGCTCCAGCATCAACATGTGGCATGGAGGCTGCACAGCTGCAGAAAGAAAAGCTTTGCAGAGAGTGGTGAAGGCTGCACAGAAATCTGTCGGAATCAGCCTCCCCACCATCACAGACATCTACACCTCCAGATGCAGGAAGAGAGCCACCTGCATCATGAAGGACCTCACTCACCCAGCACACACACTTTTTGCCCCACTCCCCTCAGGAAGGAGGTTGAGGAGCATTAAGTGTAGAACCACTAGACTGAGGAACAGCTTCTACCCTGAGGCTGTTAGACTCATGAATCTCTAACTAGAATAATCACTGTGAAAAATCACATCATGTTGCTGCTGATCTGTTTCATGTTGCTGCTGATCTGTTTCAATGTTGCTGCTGATCTGTTTCAATGTTGCTGCTGATCTGTTTCAATGTTGCTGCTGATCTGTTTCAATGTTGGTGCTGATCTGTTTCAATGTTGCTGCTGATCCGTTTCATGTTGATGTGTTCATGCGTGTTCATCTGCTCACACAGACTCATGTTCATGTTCGTGCTGATGTTCGACGTAATGTTTTTATGCTATGAGTGCTTAGTGTATATTTAGTTGATGTTTTTCTTAGTTCATATCTTAGATCTTATTACTGTTTTTCTTTTACATTTTATTGTTGGATGTAACTGGGACCCTGTGTTCATAAATTTGTCCCACCACATGTACCACATGAGGTGCGAACGACAATAAAGAATCTCTGACATAATACTGTGCAATGAGCTGTTTGCAGGGATGGAGTACAGGTGTTCATCGTTACTGGTTTGTATAGTCATATAATGGTTATACTGGTTGCTCAGGGTTGTAACTGGACCACGGTTAAGTTACATGTTCCTTCATTACTAGAACAAAGTTCTGACTTCTGAGGTAATAAAACTCAGCAATCCAATAAAAGCATGTCAGAGCTGTTTGTGTGTTTTGACGTTTCTCACCCTTTTTTGCTTTTTTGGTAAACTTTGCTTATCGTTTCAACAGGGACCATGTATTTCTCTGAGATCTGTGGAAGCAAAGCAGAAATAAAATATGTTAAATGGAGTGGTGTCAAAAATAATTGCATGTCTGACATACAATAGATAGGATTTTTGTGCGTGTCTAATCTGCCTAGCAACAGGCTGATCAATTGACACTTACTGCCTCCATCAGAGCTTTGAGGGTGGGTGCACGCAGCATCAAGGCATCAAACACTTCATCACACTCCTTCCTCACATAAAGTAGAACTGATGGAAAAGGCAGGGCAAAATATGTTATTCACCCAGTTAAATAATAGAATATAACATGGGTTTTATAGAGATCCCTTTCGTCACCTTTTCTTTCTTGCTCCACTTTGCTCTTCTTGGGTGGAGGTGGGCAGAAATCTTCCTGACTCAAGCTCTTCATTGGAACTCCTCTGATGAACACACATTAACACACAAACTTTTCAATAAGGTCAGAAGTTTACATTCACTCATTAATGGCATGAATTACATTAATTTGCTTTATTTATTTGAATCCCTCTTTCCAGTGTGAAATAATTTTATTACTTCAATCCTTAAAAAAACAGAATGTGGCTATCTAATTCACACGGGGTTCATATTATACATAAATGAACTTAAATCGATGAATGAGTGCTGCTGAAGGTTCCAAGCCAGGTTACTTCATCTAGTGAACGTGACTGACTGCAGGTGGTGGTTTCTCTTAGCCAACAAGAGGATTTATTTAACACCTCTTTGTTATTTACACTCAGTCCTCACCCTCAGATAAATCAAAAATGAGTTTAGGATGTTCAGGATTAACCCAGGAACCATTAAGGCTCAAGACTTTCATGAACTGGAAACCGCTGGAACACCAGTGTCCTTGTGAAGTTTTACACCGTCGTGGACTCAGAGGGTGCCAGCCAAGGAAAAAGCTCAAGCAACATGTTTGCTGGTAGCATCATGCTGAGTTAATGGTGCATTAAGACAATGTCTGGATTAATGAAGATGGACGTCCACACCCAAAATCTTCAACTTCACCTCAAACCAACAGCTAGCTTTTAGAAACTTGAGTGTTTCTGGGTGTTTGCATGATCTAAAACACTCATCAAACCTCATGTCTGTGTGGATAAAGCAGGCTAACATTAAGCTCAGCTTCACTAACAACATGTGGACTGTGATCGAGTCCAGGTCTGTGCCAGGAAACAACAATCTAAATCACCTCCACCAATTCTGTCCAGAAGAGGGGTTAAAAAAGGCCTGCGGTCAAAGTGCAACTTGTAAAATAAAGTGTAACCAAATATTTGTTGAGTTGTTTATTATGTTGTTTATTATGGATGTACAGGTCCTTCTCAAAAAATTAGCATATTTTGAAAAAGGTCATTATTTTCCATAATGGAATGATAAAAATGAAACTTTCATATATTTCAGATTCATTGCACACCAACTGAAATATTTCAGGTCTTTAATTGTTTTAATACTGATGATTATGGCGTACAGCTCATGAAAACCCAAAATGCCTGTCCCAAAAAATTAGCATATCATGAAAAGGTTCTCTAAACAAGCTATTAACCTAACCATCTGAATCAACGACGTAACTCTAAACACCTGCAAAAGATTCCTGAGGCTTTTAAAAACTCCCAGCCTTGTTCATTACTCAAAACCACAATCATGGGTAAGACTGCCGACCTGACTGCTGTCCAGAAGGCCATCATTGACACCCTCAAGCAAGAGGGTAAGACACAGAAAGAAATTGTTGAACCAATAGGCTGTTCCCAGAGTGCTGTATCAAGGCACCTCAGTGGGAAGTCTGTGGGAAGGGAAAAGTGTGGCAGAAAACGCTGCACAACGAGGAGGTGACCGGACCCTGAGGAGGATTGTGGAGAAGGGCCGATTCCAGACCTTGGGGGACCTGCGGAAGCAGTGGACTGAGTCTGGAGTAGAAACATCCAGAGCCACCGTGCACAGGCGTGTGCAGGAAATGGGCTACAGGTGCCGCATTCCCCAGGTCAAGCCACTTTTGAACCAGAAACAGCGGCAGAAGTGCCTGACCTGGGCTACAGAGAAGCAGCACTGGACTGTTGCTCAGTGGTCCAAAGTACTTTTTTCGGATGAAAGCAAATGTTGCATGTCATTCGGAAATCAAGGTGCCAGAGTCTGGAGGAAGACTGGGGAGAAGGAAATGCCAAAATGCCAGAAGTCCAGTGTGAAGCACCCACAGTCAGTGATGGTCTGGGGTGCCATGTCAGCTGCTGGTGTTGGTCCACTGTGTTTTATCAAGCACAGGGTCAATGCAGCTAGCTATCAGGAGATTTTGGAGCACTTCATGCTTCCATCTGCTGAAAAGCTTTATGGAGATGAAGATTTCATTTTTCCAGCACGACCTGGCACCTGCTCACAGTGACAAAACCACTGGTAAATGGTTTACTGACCATGGTATTACTGTGCTCAATTGGCCTGCCAACTCTCCTGACCTGAACCCCATAGAGAACCTGTGGGATATTGTGAAGAGAAAGTTGAGAGACGCAAGACCCAACACTCTGGATGAGCTTAAGGCCGCTATCGAAGCATCCTGGGCCTCCATAACACCTCAGCAGTGCCACAGGCTGATTGCCTCCATGCCACGCTGCATTGAAGCAGTCATTCATGCAAAAGGATTCCTGACCAAGTATTGAGTGCATAACTGAACATGATTATTTGAAGGTTGGCGTTTTTTGTATTAAAAACACTTGTCTTTCATTGGAGGGATGAAATATGCTAATTTTTTGGGACAGGCATTTTGGGTTTTCATGAGCTGTATGCCATAATCATCAGTATTAAAACTATTAAAGACCTGAAATATTTCAGTTGGTGTGCAATGAATCTGAAATATATGAAAGTTTCATTTTTATCATTACATTATGGAAAATAATGACCTTTATCACAATATGCTAATTTTTTTAGAAGGACCTGTATGTAAATATATTTGTCCTTGTGTGTATAATTTTGATTGTTATTAGAGAAACTCCACAATGACTGGACCTCATTGTGCACCTACCAGTAATTCTTGTTCATATTTTTGTAGTGGCATAATCATTTCATCCTGAAAATAAAATCTTTAAAGGATATATCTCACTGGGCTGCAACAATTACGGATTAGTTGGCAAATGGCGTTTAAGAGGACGATTCTGAAATGAACAGTTTTCCTCTCAGTTTAGTTTGTAATGCTACAGCAGAGCTGTATTCTGACACCTGAGCTCTCCTTGAGATAAAAACCCTACATGATGACCTCTAACAACCGGTTCTGTGATTAATAATTTTGTCAACTGATAAATTCACTATAAAATAAGTCATATTTTGCTGTGTCTGCATGGTGGCTCAGTTGGTAGAGCTGTCGCCTCTCAGTGAGAAGGTCGCCGGATCGAATCCCGGCTGAGGGCCTTTCTGGGTGGAGTTTGCATGTTCTCTCCGTGCATGTGTGGGTTTTCTCTGGGTACTCCAGTTTCCTCCCACAGACCAAAAACATGCATGTTAGGCTGATTGGTAACTCTAAATTGTTCCTAAGTGTGAGAGAGAGAGTGAATGGTTGATTTACGAGCTAAACCGTAAGATGGAAGTGATTTGAATCACAGGCCACCTGCAACTTTGGGATTCGTCAGCATGAAAACAACCTTGAAGAGGCTCGTAAGCACGGACCAGTAGAATGAACCCTAATCTGGCCATTTCGGACCTTGGAAGCACCCGATAGTCCCCGATAGTCGCTAAATGCTTTGAAAAACTGGTCATGACTCGCATCAAAACAACCATCAACATCAACGAGGACCCTCACCAGTACGCATACCGTGAGAACCGATCAACAGAGGATGCAATCTCCTCTGTGGTCCACACTGCGCTCAACCACCTGGAGCAGAAAAACTCTTACGTCCATATGCTCTTTGTGGACTTCACATCCGCCTTCAACACCATGATCCCCCAAACCCTGATGGACAAACTATCCACACTAGGACTAAGCCCCTCCATTTGCAACTGGGTACTAGACTTTTTAACAAACAGACCACAGTTAGTGAGGATCCACAACTTCTCCTCCTCCACCATAACCCTCAGCACTGGCTCTCCTCAGGGATGTGTGTTGAGCCCCCTCCTGTTTACTCTGCTCACGTATGATTGTGCAGCTACCCATCCAGGCTGTCACATTGTAAAGTTTGCAGATGATACAGCGGTGGTGGGATGCATCACAAACAATGATGAGTCCAGCTACAGGCAAGAGGTGGAACACCTGGAGAGCTGGTGCAAAGAGAATAACCTTCACATCAATG